CGTTTCTATCCATCAATAACACATCTAGCCAAAATCTTCACAAAATTGACTTTTTAAATGTAGGAATTGCTTCCAAACGTTAGCATTGAAAATCAATAGTTGACGAGACCGTGGGGATTCAGACACTGGGTACTTGATTTGGGAGTTTTAAGGTCGCTCCCCCTGAGGCGAGGGGATACAATATTATGTGAAAACTACACCCTCTTGACTTGGGTTTGAGGATCCTGTGTCAGAATCTCTGCAAGTTTACTAAGAATATTCGGAGTAAATTAAAGATCAGGGAGTAGAATGCTGCATTTTTAAAGTTCATAATCTGTTTGTCAACTTGCTACTTACACCCAGCTGACGAATATCGCATCATACCTGCCATGTACTGTCTTTGTACTTAGCTCGTCTGGACACTTGTCTTGGCCCGATAGAATAGACTGACACTAACAACGTCACCTTAGAAGAGACTGTGCCCACCATCTCGGAACTTTAGGGTGAAATTAAAGATGGTTCCAGTAGGGAACGGAATAGAGGGTGTCCACGTCCCTAGTGACTCGTTGGAGCAGAGGAAGATATGACTAACGCTAACATTACTTAAACGCACTCTCACATCATCACTCATCATCACCATTATTTTATAAAAAATCATTGCTCTCAGATCAATGACTTACATCTATAATCATTGAATCTCTATCTGTAACAGTTACTTATCATACTAAGTATGCACGTAATACACTATTGGACACTATCACACGCACTTTTTTTCAACTGATCAGAGGGCGTCAATCTCATAAAATTGAGCAAGGAAAAAATGTCTCGTTCTTCTCTACTCTTACTTAAAAGAGGATACTGGGATTGGGTTTATTTAAAATAATCAGGGGGTGGGGGGGAGGTGCTATTGATTTATTCAGTAATTTTTCCAAACCTGTTCATTACCCCCCACCCTCTGCCTTTTTATATATATTTACACATGTTTGAATTTCGTATTTCCAGGCTTCAAGATTGCCAAGACAACGCTTGCCGTCTTCAGTCTCGCCTGGGAGAGTGTCACTTGCGAGCAGACACTAGCAAGTCAAAATCGTTCTCCTTCACCACAGAGTCTGATGACGTACAAACACCCCTTACATCGTGTTCGAGTCGACACAGCATCATTCCAGAATCTTCTGTCCAGAGAGAACTCGATAATTCTAACAACATTGGGCAGCTCAGCAGTTCATGTACATCGGGGAGACAAGTCGAGGCCGTCCCACGAAGACAACGAAAAACCGTCATGCCAAAAGAAAAAGTTCGATTTCATATCGGTACAGAAGATATGGCCACTCCAGAAGACTCAGTTGAACAGTTTCACACCGGAGGAGTACATTCAAAGCCCTGTAACGTATTAAAAAACAGTACCACTTGCGCAGAACACCACGAAAAGAATACATCTCAACTCAGAATACACAGTAATAACGAGTTGATAATCAATGACATTCCAACGCTTAATGCAATGCCCAATAGCAGAACCGATTCTAATGTATCAGTCGTCAGTACTTTAAAAAGAAGATTCTTTTCAATATGGCGGACCACGGGCGAGAGGAGACGCCGAAGGTGCCAGCATCTCCGTGACTTGCGCACTATCAAGACATTGATGTGTATGTTTGCCATTTGCTACGTGTGTTGGACGCCTGCCATGACACTCAAGCTTTTGTCAAATGTACTCAATATTAAGGTAGGGCTTTTCAGGGGGAAAGGTCGGGGGATGGGGAATATTTGGCTCTTTGTTTTTTTGTGGGTTTTTTTGTGTTGTTTTGCTGTTTACGTTAGTGCTTTTTCTACTTCCCCATATCGGCACAATTTAGTTTATTTAAGAGGCGGGCCTGTCAGGACCAAGGAGGGCTGAGAGAGAAAGAGAGAGAGTGAGAGAGAGAAAGAGAGAGAGAGAGAGAGAGAGAGAGAGAGATAGAAAGAGAGAGTGAGGGAGAGAGGGAGAGAGAGAGAGAGCGATATTTCCTTCAGGCAGACAGTATTTGATAAAATTCTCCCCTCACGAGCTTGGACTCAGTCTTTTATGTTCGACAGCGAAGTGCCTAACCACTACACCATAGCAGATGCTGGTAAGAAAGGCTACGGTGGTGACGTCGAAAACAAATGTGAGGCAGCGTGGTGAAATCAGGCTCTCGTCAAAATAAAGAAACTCGCATTTTTCCACAGATTTGGACGGGGAAATTTATCGAATTTATATTTTTTGGCTCAACACCTTTCATGCTCTTTAAAGAACACATTTTGCAGTGTATTTTTACTGAAAAACATTGATAAGAAGCATAAAAGATGTAAGTTTTCAGTTTCTACGGACTCAGCACAGGAAATAACCCAACTTTGGCAACCATTTTCTTGCTAATTTTACCTCTTAAACAGGCCTCCCTCACCCCCTTCGATCGCCAATATCTTGACTTGTATTCAAAATAAAAATTAATGAATACTTTTTTCAACAAAAGCAAGATAAACGAGGAGACGTTAAGACCGTACCAATAACTACATTTATGCCCCAAAATTGACGAGCACCTGATTCCACCATGTTGTGTTTACTTGTGTTTACTTGTGTGAAGGACCGACATCACTGCACAAGGAGCATTCCCATAAGCGCTCCGTCCCCTGAAGAGGCACATCTCGAAGTGTGTAGATGCTGACGGTTCCAAGCAATCGTTGATTTCATAGCCTTCTGCTCCTCCTACTAAGTCTTGAACTTCTGCAGGCACCCCATCCAATTTCAAACTCACGAAGTCGCTCAAGATGATATTATTCCGTCTCTTCTTGTTCTTTTTCTCTTTTTTCCTTGACTGAACGTACAATTTCAGGTTTATCAGGGCACAGCTGCCTTACTGGTTTTGCTTTCCCAGCGAGCTCATCAGCCCGCTCATTGCCCTTGACTCAAGCATGACCTGGGGTGAAGGTCCCCGTGATCTTTTTCAGTGTGGTCTTCTTCAGGAGCTCTGTCCATTCAGCTCTAAGGTTCCCACTTTCAATCTTCCTCAGAGTGCTCGGAGAGCCTGTGACAAAGATCACATGTGCTTGTCGAGTTGTAGTGACCCATTTGAGAGCTTGAGTGATTGCCTCTATCTCCATTCCCATGCTAGATGTTGTCATACCGTATGCCCTCTGCTGTTCCTGTACCAATCTGCCACTCATCCCGATTTTTTCCCTCGTTTTAACAGATCCATCCGTGTATACAACCACATCTCCGTGCCTTGAGTTTTCTTCAATCAGTTGTCGTATCTCAGCATCTGTCGCCCCACGCGGCCACTCTCTACATTCTCTGTTCAGTGTTATCACTACGTTCCCCAAAATGTCCCTGCTGTCTCTCATTCATCTTTATCCATTCTTCACTCCGCTTTATATCTTCCAGTGGGCAGACCTCCTTGGTCGTGTTTTCAGCCTCAGCCATCCAAGAAGCTCCTCGTTTAAGGCGATTTCCCTTGATTGCTCCAATGGCTTCGTAAAATGGGTGTTGCTTATCAGCCGCCACCCTCATGTACGCCCTCACCTGAGCCACTGTGTGTCTGTTTTCCACTGACATTAGGCCCAATAAATGCCCCATACAGATCATTGGCGTATCCCTGGTGCAGCCTAGTATGATGCCCATGACTTCATTTTGAACTCGATCCAACTTGTCCACTTCCGTTTTTGTCCAGGTCAATAATCAGAACCCGTAATCGATTACTGCCTCTACAAGCTGCTGATACATAAAAAGCAGTAGCCTTTGTTTCATTCCTGAAGCCGCCATGACCTTCACTGCATTCAAGCCCGTCTTTGCCCTTTCCACAACACCATCTATGTGATCTTTGAAGGATTGACAGCGATCAAAAACCACTCTCAGATACCGCATTTTTTTTACATCTTTGAATATTCTGTCCACTTACCGTCAGCTCTGGGACATCTATCTTTACTATTCGATAGTTTAAAGAGCACCAGAGTGCTGCGGCCTTCTGAAGATTTATCACTGCGGTTGATTCAGCACTCCACTTCATGATTTTCTCAACCTCTTGCTGTAATTCATGTGTCATTTTCTGCCGATCCCGTCCTTGCCTGTAGGCCAAGATGTCATCTGCAAATGTTAGTATTCTCCCTGGCCCAAAGCTGTTCAGCGTTGCAATACAAGCAGTGTAGACATTGAACAGTATGGGCGATAAGGGTGAGCCCTGTGGGAGTCCTGGTCTTATCACATGTGGGCTTGAAATCCATTTACCACATCGCAAAGCCACTTTTCTTTCTAGCATTGCCCCTGCAATCCACCCTACAATCCACAGATTCACGTCACAATCTAGCAGAGCACACATTATCCTCTCATAATTTACATGATTGTAAGCATTTTCCAGATCCAATGCTCTTGCCCCGGTCTTTTCTCCCCTCTGAAAGCCTTCATATACATCGTACGCGAAGGTCCCTGCGTTGATCCAAGTTTCCCTTCTGGGTCTGTAACTCCCTAACTCCTTAGGTAGGTTCCCATTGTTCTCTAGCTCATTCATAAGTATTCTTGCTATGCATTTTTCTAGCACTTTTCCATACACGTTTTGCTTGGTGATAATGCGGTATCCGTTGAGTTCTTTGTGATTCTTCCCAGGTTTTGGCAGTGGCTTTAAACAACTGTGCACCCAATCTTCTGGTACAGTTAATGTCCTGATGCTGCTGTTGTAGTCATCCACAATTTTTTCCAGTTCTTCGTCACTGTTGTGACACAAATATGATATGTTAACTTCATTTCTAAGTAAAACATTTCTAGTAGACGGTTCATGATTTTATAAAGCAACAGTAGCAACCACTGCCCCTCTTAAATTCTCTATCAACACTTCACTGCTCCATTGTTCTGATCCTGACACCTTCAGTATCATATCTTGCGTCGCTATTCGCTATTGAGAGAAAACACAGACCATTTGCATAAATTTTAATTTACATGTTCACGATAGTCTCGCAGCATGCTTCAAAAGTAAGACTTAAAAGCAAAAATATAGTCCTTACCCCAAATTTCAATGGCGATACCAAAAAAAGCATTAGCACGTCTGCAGCCTGAATTTCTTCCTGATGGACATCTTTGCGTTCCCCAGCTAGATTTCTGTGGTTTTGAGTGGTATTCGATTGCTGGTTCTTCAACCTGCAGTGCAACTGATTTTGACGTATGTGATCGTTTTTGTTTTACTTCCTAGGACCCTTGAATTCAGGCAACCACTTTTCGATTTCGGTGGTTCTCTGTAAGTTGTTACAATGACTAGAGTATTTTCATTCTTGGTAGGAATAAATTTTTAACTTTGCCCTGGTGGTTGTCGAAGCCTTCTCTTATCCATTTTAGGACCACCAAGAAATCTTTAACGTGCACAGCTTGCACACGTGGCTTTAGAGTTACTCACTCTCATTCGAGAAGTCTAGTTGTTCGATCTTACCTACCTTAGGATCAAGGGTGTGTGAGTAAAGGAGAAAGGAGCCTAGAGCAAGCCAGGGATGTGATTCAAAGCAAAGATGAAAAGAGGATAGTTGAGAAAATTGAGAAAACTCTGGCGAGAAGATATTTCCTTCGTTATCAGGCTTCGAACTCGGGACCTTTTGACTGAGAGGCAAACACCGTCCATCCAGACCACTAGAGCCCCTCCCCATTATTTCCTGATAGCTTCTGCTTTTTAATCATCAAAAGAACTACCATCACTGGCACCACTTCAAGAGTAATTTTGTTCCTTATCCTACACCATTAAAAACAGAGTAATTAAATGGAAAAAAACTAAACTCATCAATGTGCAAATATTCTGTTGTTATTACTACAAGAAAAATTAACATTCCGTCTTATTCGAGCATTACCAGTATCTGCACTATCTTATCATTGTCACCTGACCTTGTCTGCTTTTTTTTTTGCGTTTCAGACATATTCTTTCGAGACTGTCTCCATCGCTTACCTATTCGCTATCTCAAATTCTGTTTGGAATTTCCTCGTGTACCCGTTGAGAAAGGCGGATCTGAGACGAGCTATCATTGCCACGCTGCCTCGGTGTCTAAGGCGAAGGACTAAGGGCAGTGACCGCTCGGACAGAGTCAGCCAAAATAACGGAGCTCCATCTGTTGAAGGGAAGATGTGCTGCAATAGGACACCGCTCTCAGGAATAGCAGAAGGGGCACAGGATTGACTTCATCAGCTGTCGTTTCGTCAGTGGTTTACAAGATGAGCCCTGCATTCCTGAAATTTTAGACAAAACAAAACAAAAAACAAGTCCAAACTTTGAATAGACCTCACTGCAATAACCTTTATGTCCAACGATTGTGACCATTTCTGATTATCATTGTAATCAATACTATACACTCCCCATTTTTTTAATCCCTGCAGACACGCTAGATTTACTTTCATTTAAAATACTTTCAAAAATTACCTTGAAATTCAATTTTTTTATTCTCTCCACTCGCCTACCCCACCCTATGTTCCCCGTTGCTCCCCGTGTTTTCATTGTTCAACTGCTTTTTTAAAGAAGACTCTTTAAGAAAATATCATAAACCATTTTACTAAGATGTGCATCGTCATAATAATATGTAGACATCTTTGAGAGATGTTTTGGCTGCGTCCCCGAGACGGACTCGATACCCGACCGCTTGAGGTCTTGTTCTTTCCGTCACGTACACTCCAGTTATTGAAAATGCTTTAAAAAAAACCTACTTTCCAAGTCTAGAGAAACGCTCTTAATGTATAATATGTCATTCATTAGATACCAGTACATCTCTGCAGTCTTAATTTCAACAAAATGAGTGTCTTTATTTTTGTTTGTTTTCATTGTTCTACAAGATACAAACAGAACTGAAGTCTTGATCCAATAGTTAAAGTAAAGAAAATTATACCAAGGAAGAAGGCAGAAACTATAATAATAATAATATTACGACCAGTGTGTCATATTTGCGTGGCATCGTGGTGAAATCAGGTGCTCGTCAAAATAATGCAGTCGGAGAAGCCGACATATTTCATTAGGGCAATTTTTTAAATCGATTTTTAAACCTCTGGGATGAACATCTTTTACATCCATTTAAAATCATAATTATGTTTAGGTGGATTCTTTTGAAAAATGTTGATCATAGCCACAAAAAATGTGTGTTTGCAGTTTTTAAGGACACTCAACCTTGGGAAATCATAAGACTTTGCAGCCATTTTCTCGTTGACTTTTACCTGCAACACCATCTGACCCCGCCTTCTTTTTTTCGCAAATATTTCGACTTCTAAGCGAGAAGATTTGTATTTTTGAAATGAAAGCAAGGCAAATAAACACATTTTATTATGATGCCAATAACTCCAAGTGCCCGAAAATCGACGAGCGCCTCTTTCCACCGTGTCGAGAAACATGCGATTATTCTGAGCCCAGATGTCTGAGAGTGCTTAATCGTTACAAGGGTTGCACTTGCAGTCCTCGTGATGTAGGTCTCCTAGCACATCCACATGATTGTGATGGTGATAGCGATGCATGATGATGATGATGATGATGATGATGATGATGATGATGATGATGATGATGATGATGATGATGATGATGATGATGATGATGATGATGATAGTTCACTGCACACACCTTTAATATATTTATATGAATGAATACGTTTACTTTTCAATTGATGAAGTTCTAAAAACAATACGCCCGTT